CACTCTCCAAGCTGCCATCCCCACTGTCACCAATACCTCCCTCTTGACACACACTCGCAGGGAAGCTCGGGCCTGAAGCTCTAGGAGGGAGCTAGCCCTCCGTCTGTGCCTTGGAAAAGTCCCCCACTTGGGGCCTGAGTCATTGGCAGGGTGGAGCTGCCATTAAGAGCTGGCAAGGCCACAGGATGAGCAGGTGGTTGGGAGAAGAGTTCCACTGCATACCTGTTGAGGTGGAGGGTGTGGCATTAGACACCAGATGGAACAAGGAGAAAAGGGGTGATGACAAATCTGCAGCTCCTCTGAGGAGTGGCCAAGGCAGGTGCCATCCAGCATGCCGGAAGTTATCTAAGATGGGGTCTAAGACCTGAGTCTGGACAAGATCACCATGAGAGAAGAGATATGAAGAAAAGGCCAAGAGTTGATTCCCAGGCCCTCCAATGTGGAGCCAAAGTGCAGGGACCAGCAGGGATGGAGGAGAGAGGACTACCAGGAGGAGAGGGGGTCTCAAAGACCAAGAATTAACCTTGGATTCAGCAACATGGATGGTGTTGATGATCTTAGTTTGTTTTATTCTTTAAGACAGGGTCCTGCTATATAGCCCAGATTGGCCTTGAACTCATGATCCTCCTGCCTCAGTTTCCCAAGGGCTAGAGTGACAGGCCTGTGATGCCACACCCAGCTCATTGTTGATCTTAGTTCCATCAGTGTCTGCAGTAGACCTGCGAGGCAAGCTGGAGCCAGCAGTCCATCTTATCCTACAGGTACCTGATGTTCATTCATGGCTCACAGTCAGGCCTAGGTGTGTGTGATCTGTCCTCTCTCTCCTACCTCAGCCCAGGCCCCACTGCCTGAGATTGATGTTCACATCTGGGGCAAGACTACAGGGCCAGGGGGCCTGTCACGGGAAATGTGACCATATGGACAGGCCGTGGGGAGGTAGAGATGCTTAATGGCTTCGTTTGACTCCAGTCTTCTCTGGCTAGGAGATGATCTTCAAAAAGACCATCAAGTAGATGGAAATGGAGCCCAAGATGGCAAAAAGATGTGGCTTCTGCCAGTGACCTCAGATGCCCGAGCTCTGCCCTTCCATCCCATTCCCCACCACATGCCACTGGGAATTGAGGCTGGAGGATAAAACATGGAGCATGTTATCAGGCCATTCTCTAAACCTGGAGAGCACATTTCCAGAAATGATCCACTGATAGAATCTGTCACCAAGTCCTACCTCTGATCCTTAAAAGAGTTTAGAAACGAATTAATACAGGTCTGGAGAGATGGCTCCATGGCTAAGAGCACTGGCTGCTCCTGCAGAGGACCTGGGTTCGAGTCCCAGCACCCATGTGGCAGCTAACAACTATCTGTAACTACAGTTCCAGGAGAATTCGACACTCTCTTCTGATCTCTGTGGGCAATACATGGATGCACTTACATACATGCAGGCAATACACTCATATACACAAAAAATAAATTATTATAAAAGAAATGAATTAATACATAGAAACACTTAGGGCACTGCATGAGCATTCAATAAATGTGTCTGTTACAATAATATATTCTGCATACTACATCATGTATATTCTAATGTCATTATTATTTTGAAGGCTCCAGCAGATAGAATTGGACCAATAGGCAAGAGTTCCAGGGAGGCAGGTTTCATATCAATATTAGGAAGGAATTTTTGTTCCTGGAACTCTCTCACAGAGCAGAGTGAGAAATCTTGTGGAAACACAATCCTCATTACTAGGAGTCCAAGCCAAAGCCACATAGCCCAGTCCAGCAGTTGGCAGTCCAGCTACCCTCAGCTCTGGCAGTGGGTGAGCTGACACTCAGCCTGGCTTTGACTCTGCTCTAGCCACTGACATTGCCCCACACACTGGAGTCAGCTTTTCCATGTGCTTAGCCATCCCCTGCGGCCCCAGTAGCTATAGTGGGGCCACACATGGGTTTGCCTTCAACGATGATGACATTTAGGCATGGAGGCTTTGGAAATAGTGAAACTGCATATGAATTCCCCATTGGTCCAGTGGATGGATAGCTCATCACCAGTTTGCAGACTGGAATACAGATTCAGAGAAGAAATGGTTAAAAGGCACCAAGCTTCAAAGTCAAGTCCCTAGGACACCCTCTTCCACATGGCAGGCAAGGGTCAGGCCTCTAGGCAAGCTGTTTCAACCCTCACCGTAGCCTCTGCTGGCCAGTGGCCTACACCCACGCCTGCCACATCCATGGGAGCCCTCATCTACCCTGTGACCAGCCTAGGGTCACATGAGTGTCAGCACTCCATAGTGGCCAGGTGGTGGTGGTGGGGTACTCCAGGCCTGTATCAGAGAGCCTGGGAACACCCAGGGCCAGCCAGCCTGCCCAGGCCACAGCCCACTAGGCCCATCTTTCTAATGTCTTCCTACTGGCAAGAAGGGGGAATAGAGAACCAGAGAGGTGAGATACTGAGCCCAAGATCACACGGTAAGGAACAAAATCTTGACCAAGCTGCCCCTAATCCTCATGCAGAAGGAAGAGAAAGGCCAAGAGGATGCTGGGTCCCTTCCTAACAGAGGGGCAGAGAGCTGGCTTCCAATTCACAGAGGCTTCCCTCCACCCCTCAGCCCCCTGCAGCCAGGATCAATCCTACAGGACCAGAGATCCAGCCCCACTATGACTGCCAAGTGCAGCCTTCATGGGGCTCCAGTGCTGGGAGCAGTTCCCGGAAGCAGATCAATGTTGGCATTTGCAGAAGAGAAGTCAGAGTTAGAGCCAAAGGTAATGGGAGCTGGGCCTGCTGGAGGACTCCTGGTAGGTCTCCAGTCGGGGACTCATCACAGTCAACACTGGCCAAGCTGTGCCCACTCTGCCCATTACTACCTTCCTTGCATCACAGGCCTCTGAGCACGCCAAGTAAGCATAAGTTCCTTAGCCTCTCCCAGCATAGTTAGCAACTGGCCACGCCTCTGCCTCTGTGACCAGCTGTTCCTAACACATGCCCTCCACTATTGAGGACTCCCCCACAGGGTGGGGTAACATGAACAAGAGTAAAAGGCAGCCACAGAAACAGTATGTGAGGTAAAAGAGGGACCTCTTCTCCCTCTTCTGTCCAAGCCAGATCCCACCTCCTTCCATTGCTTGGGGGGCAACAGCAGACTTTTACTTAGTTCCTATCACTCTGATTTCATCAGCTATCTGCCTGACATCCCTTCGTGGCCAGAGCACCCAGACCTGACACAGAGGGACCTGTCTAGGGGTATCTGACGCCAAGAGGAATGACGAGGATTAAATAAGCCAAAGCCTAAGGGTGATCAGAACTGCTAGACACTTAAGCATTCATTGCTGGGCATGTGCCAACATGGAGCCCCCAGGTGGCCACATGTGACCAAAGACAGCTATGAATGCAGCCTGACACAAAATCATAAAGTTCCTAAAAACATTGAGTAATTGTTTTCACAATTTTTGTGTGTGTGACATGATCATGGGGCTCTCAAACTTGAGTTTTGGAGATAGTGACATCATTTTGTAATGTCCAAAGTTTGGACATGCCCGAACTGTACACAGGTTCTGAAGTCTACACTGCCCTGCCAACCCCATACCAGTCTCACACAAGGTCTACATGAAGCAAATCCAGGAACTACCTCCCTCCCTACCCAGTGCCGAGGGAGCAAGCAGTTCAGCAGGGTCCCCAAAGGACTTGCAGATCTATGCCTCCCTGCAAAAGTGAGCTAAGCCTTTAGTAGGCATCTCCCTTCCCAGATGGCCTCCCAAACTCCCAAACCCTCCCAAGCCCATGTTCATAGTGTTGCTCTGTCCCTGGGAATGGTCACTCTCCTCACAGGCCTCCCAACTTCCCTAGAAGCAAAGGCCCTGGGCCCTGTGGGACATCCCCACAGCATCGAGCCACACCCCTACTGTGCCACACCCCTGCCATGCTGCCCCACGCCCCATAGAAGAGCTTCTACCAGAAAGAGTGATGGGACTGCTCTGGTGTCCCCACAAAGCAGGAGGAAATCAGCCCATCTGAGGCCCTGTCTCTGGAGAAGCATGCGTCTACACTTGCTGTTATGCAAAAGGATATTAGAAGTGATTGCTTAGTTCAAATAACAAGCCCCTCCTCTCTCCAAACCAGTACATCTCATTTTCAAGTTCATAGAATGCTCCAAAGATGGCCCATGCTGACCTTATGTATGCAGCCTCTGGCCAACAATCCATAGAGCAGGCAACATGGAGTATAAGAAGCCCAGATTACAGGCATTGTCCCTAAAGAACACTGACAAGAATGAGAGGACAGAAAGGGGATGAGGGCCAGTGGACAGAACCCGTCCAAGTGCTGCTGATTGCCTCTTGTTCAGAGCATGGCCCCTGCCCACTGGCACAGCCCTATCCATTGGCACAGCCCCATTCATTGGCATGGCTACAGACTGGATCCTGCAATCCAACCTCGTTTTCTGGCAAGCTTCTGAGTCCCCATAGCTGAGCAAGGGCCATGGGACCATGAACACAGATATCAAGCTACGGGTGTTAAAGTCAGGCCAGGAGTCCAGACGCAACAACCCTGTGATGAGGTGGCTGAAGTGGGGTCCAAGGAGGTACACCGGAATGTTCATGGTCATTTATTTCTAATGACAAAACCCAGTAAATTCATTATAGGAAATTCAGTCATCACAGAAAAAGTATAAAGGGCCAGAAAACAAACTATCCCAGCAGCCATCCTAGCCACACAGGCTTAGAACAAAAGAGAAATGAGTCATTCTATAAGATAAAACTCACCCTGGAAGGAAATTGGCACTGAGGCACAGTGATAAACCATGCTGTTTAGAATACCCCTCTGCTGGAATGTGTCACTGAATGAGGTTGTGAGGATCCTGTCCCTGGAGGGATCCAAGCAGGAGGCAGATGAACCCCACAGTCACATTCCAATACAGGTAGGAGGTCAACCCTCAGGATTCCTTCACTTATAGAAGGGACATCCCCCCATCCCCCCCACCACATACACACCAACCCATGCACCAACTCACCCACAGGCGTGTCCTCACTGATCAGCAGGTACGTGTCAAAGAAGTGATTAGTGAAGAAAGGCAGCCGGTTCACCTGGCCTGCAAATCAGAGGACAAAGGTATCAGCCTGGTGGTCCCACCAGCTTCATGCATCCTACAAGGTGACACAGAGTGGAACTGTGGTGGCACTGAACATGTGCATTACCTCAGTTTATCTTTTATAGCAATGACCCATAGAAATGATATTACTGGGGATATACTGGATAAAGTAAAAGACATTATTAAAATGAATTTCACTCTTCTTTTTACTTTTCTAACATGGCTGCTCAAAAATCTCAGGTTCCCATCAGTTGGGTGTGGTATATCTCCACTGGGCAGCATGGCTTGAGGCAGAATGTATAAGACCTCTACCAGGTCAAGAGCTCAGCTGGTCACAGTAACCCCAGTGCCCAGAGTGGGAAGAAAGTGCCTAGAAAGTCTTAGTATGTGACCGTCATGGGAAGCAATGGTCACCCGGGCTATAGAATAAGTAATATTGAGGGTAATTACACCTGCTGCCTCTGGAACTGCTTCTCTGAGCTAGCCACTCATATCACCTGGATCTAGTGATATCCCAACAGGTACTGTGACACCCTGTGCAAAATGAGACCTAAAGTAACCTGCTTTATGTCTATTTCCCACAGCTAGGAAGCGGACTAGGCTGTACAGGCATGCAGACCTCAAAGCTCCTCCTATTGACCAAGGGCCACTCTGACAGTTCTGCAGTAGGGTAGATTCTGGGCAGGACCAGGTGACAGACACATGGACCTTGACCACAAAGCCCCTCACAAGTCTCTCTTCAGGTTTGGTTCTTCTGTCCCGTTTCCTCCCAGGAGCGTCAGTAGGCAGGCAAGGACACTTGCCCCTCAGTCCTGGGTGCATACCCTGCCGCAGGGGCTCCTGCAGGGAGCAACAGGGGCCCTGAAGGGGGCTAGTCCAGCCCTCCCACACTCCTGCTGCCTGTGACTTCCTCAGGCACATGTCAGGCTCCCAGAGGGTGAGAAGCTAGAGTCAGGTAGAGGGGTGGGAACAGACCAGCACTCGTGCTTCCCAGTTTAGAAGAGCAAGTCGGGGAAGGGCTGGTAGACAGGTGCCTTGCCTTTGAAATCTCCTTGCTCCCCTATCTAGCCACATGATCTTGCCATGCCTCAGTTTATCTGTGTGCAAAATGGCAATAATAATGGGACTTACTTTACAGTTACCTAGGGATTCAGTGAGATTACATATATGAGGCACTTAGCAAGCACTCAATATAAAGTCTGGCATCAATAATGCTGCCTTCATGACCAGAGGGGAATACCTCGATACCTACTGCAGGCCTTGGGCTCCTGATGCAGGGAAGTGGGGGACTGCTGTACCGAAGCAGAAGGACCTGAACACCCCAAGAATGCGACAGCAGACTGGAGTTGGCGTGGGAAATTAGTGAGGAAAATCCCTGTACCAACAGCAGCTTGGTTTATTTATGTATGTTCTTCTATGAGACCTGCTGGGAGCTCCCCACAAGGACCTGAATTACCTGCCAAGCAGGACTGGTACTCTTAGAATGGGCAGCCTTGGGGTCCTTGGAACTGGGAGGGGCTGGAAGGACAGGGCAGAGGGGAGGGTAGCCAGGTGATTTGTTCTCTTAAAAACCACTCTGAAAGTAGAAGGCTGTGAGTTCCCGTTGTGGTGAGAGCTGGGAGCCTCCAGCGAAGCCTAACCTGATGGATGCAGAAGGTGGGGGCACAGTGGGTAAGTTCTGAGAGGGAGGGAGATCCTGGCTTTGGGGTTCAAGGCTGCCTCTACTGTCCCACCTGTTCTCATGCCTGAGCCTGCAGAACTGTTGGTCATTCTGTCTTCTCCCCACCTGCTCATGCCCAATCACACAGGGACAGACAGGGAATCCAGTTGTCAGCCTTTCAAACCCTGTACTAGGGCAGTGCAGAAAAGGCGGAGGGCCAGGTCAGAGAGGAGGCAGCATCCGAGGGTGGGCACAGTACAAGGACCACACACACAGAAGGAGGCACAAAGTTAGACAGGGACTGGAGACATGCAGTGTCCAGGGGCCTGTTCTGAATGACTACATGTCCTTGTGATTGAATGGGACTATTCCCTCAGATCAGGGTGATGAGAAAGCCAGGCCTGACTTAGAATCATAGGCTAGGGGACCCCCTTGGGTTTGGAGACCATGGGTGAATGGCAGAGCTTAAATTTGAACCAGGTCTGTCTAAATCCAAGCTGGATGCCTCCCTAGGCTTCTGAGTTCTTATTCCTACACCGAGCCCCATACCCAGAGAACAGAGCCCTCTAGCCCCACCCTAGGATAAGGAAGGAGTACTGGACAGAGTATAGACAATGTTCCAGGCACTGTTTCCCAGCCTCAGAGTAGGAACAAAAAGATCTGCTTTACTGCCAGGAGTCACTGGTTGTAGTGTGGCTCCAGGAGCCTGACACACTGGTGTCAGCCAGGGAAGGAAGCCACTCCACCTCTATGTCAGATGTCCCTCATACCCAGCACACAGGACTCCAGGCAGGAAGTGGGAAAGGCAAACTTGCTGAGGACCCCCTCTTCTGTCTCCCCAAGAATGAGAGCAGGGGAGACCACTGAAGCCAGGGAGAAGAAGGGGAAGACAGGAGGCTGTGGCAGAGAGATGGGGCATAACGCTGTGCAGGGCCTGCCTCACCTCTGAGAGAGCACTCAGTCTGGGCTCCAGGATCCCCCAGACATGTGGTCTGGTCTAGAAACAGGAGAAGGACCATGTGATCTGGTCTAGAAACAGGAGAAGGGCTAGCACAGGAAGCTGGGTGGCAAAGGACACAGGAGACCACTCATCCATAATCCCCCAAGGTCAGCCACCTACCACACTAAAGGATCAGCACCAGCTACTTAAAAAATGCAAATATGGTCAGCAAAGCCAGGCAGCCCACAGGCAGATCACCCATGTTTGTTTGTTTGTTTTAAATATTTTATTATTCTTTTATGTGTATGAATGTATTGCCTGTATGTATGTGCACCCGTGTCATGCAATGCCTGTGGAGGTCCAAAGAAGGTGTCAAACCCCCAGAACTGGAATTAAGGACTGTTGTTAGCTGTCATGTGGATACTCAGATTTGAACCCAGGTCTTCTGCAAGAATACTCAGTGCTCTTAACCGCTGAGCCATCTCTCCAGCCCTAATCACCCATGTTTTGCCACAGATTTTACTGGTAGCCTTGGGCGACTTATTATGCTTCTCTGTTTTCTATGTCTCATTTTGCTCCCACTAGAGGAGGATTAGTGCTGCTAGCAAAAGAATCAACATTAAACAAGTGTTTGTTGAACACCTACTGTGTGCTGTGAATTATTTAGAGTGCTTAAAGTTTGTATTAATTCATGGGATCACTCTGACAAGCAAAGGCTAGTCCTGTGTCACGCCTAAACTAGAGATAAAGAAAGCCCAGTCCAAGGAGATTCAGAAGCTTGCCCATGGGAGCCCACAGGCAGTGAGCTAGCTGTGCACTGAACACCTGAACCATCTTTCACTGAAGGCTCAAGGGAGACAGACATCCTCTGAGCAAGCTAGGATGAGGAACTTGCTCTGCCTTTACACATGTAACTCTTCTTAACAGAGATCAAGTGGCACAGAACAGGGCAGAGCATGAGTGTCTAAGGTCACAGAGTCTGTGTGGAAGAAGAGACCAGGGTCCTTATTTCTGCCATCTAGCAAACAGAGAGGCCAGAGATGCCCCAGCAGAGGCCTCCTGCATGGATGGGGCAGGCCAGGGGGTGGTCATTTGATGATAGCTCCCACGGAGGACCATAGCCCCTGTGTTTGATGACCTCGGATCAGGAGCTTCTACAGGCTCCAGCATCTCTTCTGGACAAGTGAAGAGACTTTGTGAGTCCAGGATGCAGATCTAAGCTGCTTGGATGGGAATGAGCTCCCCATCGCTGGGGGCATTTGGCAGGGGAGCCCTCCGCACAGGGAGGCAAGGAGAGGAGATTGCCTTGGCTGCAGGCTGCTAGTGACACGCCAACAAGTGTGAATGTGAGGCAGCAGCTTCCTCCAGAGCCCCATCACTCCCAGGAGTGGAACAGGGAGGGGTCCCACAGGAATGTGCTCGCCTGTGTCGCCAGGCACGCAGTGCCCACAGCTGTTCTCTGGGGACACGTCAATCCTGGAGGACACAGAGCCTGGCATGCCTGTGGTCCCAGCCTTCCTTCAGTGTAGCCTAGAGGAGCTTCCTTGTTCCTCACTACCTGCTGTTCAGGGTCAAAGAAGAGGTAGCAAGGCCTTCTTGGTGAGCACCAGTGGCACTTGGAGGGGACCATCCCTGTAGGAAGGACAGCTCCTAACTACCACATACCTGTGTTCATGCTGCCCCTACCCAAGACACCTTCTCTCCCCACTTCTAAAATGACTTCTTAATCCTCAAAGCCCTGATCAACAGTTTTCTCTTCACTCCCACCTGTAGCCCAATGATGCTTTTCTTCAGAGGGGCCTCTCTGGAGCGGGGGATGTCCCTGTGAACTCACCTCATGCTGCACCCTATGCTATGGTCAACCCTGCGTATTCTTCTTCTGCTAGACTCTGAGCCCTTTGCATGTGAATCAACATCTTCCCTCCCCAGAGATGGCACACTATGTATACTATGCACATAGTAGATGCTTTAAAGAAAAAAAAAAAGCTGTGAAATTGAATAGAACTGTGGCCAGTCCCTTCAGTCCTAGAAGACAGTTCATAGTCACAGACCGTAGAACCTAAGTATTTCTTAAGATCCTCCCATGGCCCCATGGGTTCTGGGCCCTGGGGACAGCTGGTATTTTCAGTCCTATGCAAGCTATGGGAGGCAACTGAGGCTTAGAGAGGGAAATGTATCTTCAGTCACGTGACAAAACATGGTCTCTGGGTTCCCAGAGCACAAAACCAGGCCTCTGGCCTGAGCAACTTCTAGCCTGGTCTCCCCAAAGGGAGGTGGGACTTACCCCAGGATCCAGACACCAGCACGACAAGCCACAGCAAGGCACGGTAAGGGATACTGGGAGACCTCATGACTCCTAGGAACAAACAAGAGGAGGATGAGAAGTGAACTTCTGGAACCCCAGCACCCCACCTTCGCAGAGCCCGGGAAGGGGAAATGGACAGCAGCTCCATGGGGATGTGTCCAGGCCTGAGTCTATTGCAGCAGCCGTGGGAGTACCTAGGCTGTGCCCTGACAGGCAAATCTCAGGGCAGGCACAGAACAAGCCAAGTCCAACGTTCCAGGCTTAGTGGTTCCAAACAGGCTGCTGCCTATTGTCCTCTGAGCCCATGTCCCTGAGAACAGGACAGCCTGGCCAACCTGAGGATGGAGGAGCCATGGGTGGTGCTACCTAGAAAGATAGGGTTTGGCAAGCCCAAAAAGTCACCCAGCCCCCACCAGCATCCCTGTTCTATTTTCTTACATCTATCATATATACCATCCCATAACCCTGAGGTGAGAGAAAACAACAGGTCATGGTGTTCAAATAAGCACAGAGAGCCAGGCATGGTGCTGCATGCCTTTAATCCCAGCACTTAGGAGGCAGAAGCAGGCAGATCTTTGTGAGTTCGAGGCCCGCCTGGTCTACACAGTGAGTTCCAGGACAGCTGGGGCTATAGGGAGACTCTGTCTCAAAAAGAAAAAAAAAAAAACCTGGGCTTGGTGGTAGTCCCAGCACTTGGGAGGCAGAGGCAGGCGGATCTCTGTGAGTTCAAGGCCAGCCTGGTCTACATAGTGAGTTCCAGGACAGCTGGGGCTACAGGGAGACGCTGCTTCAAAAAAAAAAAAAAAAAGCACAGAGAGAGGAGATGAGATCAACTGTCCAGGACCCACAGCAAGCCCCTGTGGGAGCCTAGAGCTGAACTCTGGAAAGATGCAGGCCTTGCAGATGGAGGTTTGGTGAGGTCAGGTCCTATTGCTGAGGGTGGAATGAACCACTCCTTCCCACCCCTCACAGCAAGGTTGAGGTCCCTTCATACCAAGAGCTCAGGGTGATACCTCCCCTATAGCCTGTACCCATCTCTCCACAAAAATCAGACTGGGACCTGGGGCTGATCCCATCACTCTTCAGTGAGGATCCAGTGGGTATCTTGCATAGAGGCATTCCTCATCTGTTCACAAGGCATACAATGTCTAGCTCAGAGATTCCCATCAGAGAGTGGGGTCAATATCAGGAGACAAGTGGATGTGCAATGTCCCCCATCAATGACTGATCAAGAAGGGTGGGAGGTGACTGGCATTGGATAGAACTTTGTAGAGAGACTTCCCAATCTCTACCAAGATTTTGGGCCAAGGGATATAGAGAGCTCAGTCTCTCAACTCAGCCCTGGAAGGGACAGTCTCTCTTGGTCCACATCCTGAGCAGACAGTGAGGGGATACCCACAGACATTATAAGGATGTACAATGGTCCATGGAACAGTTTTGTTTTCCTTCTAGCATATACTTAAAATGTTCTAATTATGCAAGTTTGAAATGGTCATGTGATGAATAGGTACCTACGCCGCATTTTGCTATGAATGGTGGCCTCCCCCCAGTTCCTTAGTGTTTCCCACTCCTGTGAGTTTTCAAGTGTTTACAGCCCACTGCAGGGTTCATGTACTGAAATGCTTACAGGACAAGCAGGGAATAGAGAGGAGAGCTGGTGGGTGGGTGCGTGGGGGGTTTGGCCACATGAGGGCCACATGCTCAATCCAAAGGTGGCAGCTGTTAATGATTCAGTTGGTGGGGGGGACCCAAAGTCCAATGTGGTCAGAGCTTCAGATTAGTATTAGTGAAAACATCTGGAAATTGGGCTTTTATGTAAATTTGACATTTAAATATTGACAGATGATTTAATTTCTAAGTAGCCAATTGGCTTATAATTCCTTTGTAAGCCAAGCATGAACCATCCAACAGGAAGAGAGAGCACTGGTCTACCAGGCCTCTCTCTGCACCCCAATGTGTTTCCTCTATGTACCTGCCTGAACCCCTGTGGTTGCTGTTGATCTCTGTAGCCCCCTCTGCATACAAGCAATATGCAGGCTTGGCTTAGTTTTCCTAGACTCTCCCAATGAGGGGCTGGGGGTATGGCTTAGTGGTAGAGCGCCTGTCCAAAATCCACCAATGAGGGATTGTGGGCATGGCTCAGTGGTAGAGTACCTGCCTAGAATCTACCAGTGAGGAGCTGCATATGTGATTCAATGATAGAATCCTTGCTTAGAGTCCGGCAATGAGGGGCTAGGGCCATGGCTCAGTAGTAAAAAGCCTGACTAGAATTCTTCAGTGAGGGACTGGAGGTGTGGCTTAATGGTGGAGCACCTGCCTAGCACGTGATAAGACCTGGGTTCCATTCCCAGCACTATTGAGAGATGGCTCAGCAGTTAAGAGTGTTTCCTGCACTTGTAGAGGACCTGAGTTTAGGTCCTACACATTGTACAGCTGTAATTGTACAGCTGTAACTCCAGCTCCAGAGCTCTTTGGGCCTCCATGGGTACCTGCACTCATGTGCACATACAGACATGCATACATATATAATTAAAAATAAATTAAAAAAAATTTTTTTGTCTTTTTGAAGCAGGGTCTCCCTATAGCCCCAGCTGTCCTGGAACTCACTATGTAGACCAGGCTGGCCTTGAACTCACAGAGATTCTCCTGCCTCTGCCTCCCAAGTGCTGGGACTACAGGCATGCGGCACCATGCCCGGCTATAAATCAAAATTTTTAAAAATTCATTTGTCTTTCTCATGTCCTGACATTCACAGATGACCTTCCAGGTCCACAGGACTTAGAACTGCCTCCTTTTCTTTAGGAGCTAAAGATAGTTTTGTGGCATGATTAGCCTATAATAGAGAGAACTGTCCCTTTCTGATACTCTGGATTCCTGCCACTATAGGCAAGCCACGGTAGACAGGTCCACTCTGTGTGACTGTGTCAGGACCTTGCTCTTCAATTTGGTCCCCCAGCCAGGACACTGAAGGGTCAATTAAATACAAACCCCAAGCCTGTGTGTCAGCTTTCATTAGATGTCACCAAATTATCTTCTGGGAACAGTGGCGGCAATTCATGGTCCCTCCTCCCATAGCGTGTAGCAAGGACCAGGTGCCCACCTGCAAATGATCTCTCTTTTAAATGGCTGCCAATCGGGCTTTTGAAAAATGGCATGCCTTAGTTGCCTTCATTTGCATTTCCCTAACTACAGTGAGGTTGAATGAGATGCCTTTTTCTAAACATGTGAACCACTTTCCATCTGTTATATGACGTTATCCTATCAGATCCCACAAAGACTCTAGCCAGCATCTCACGCATTATCCTTGATTTACACGTGGAGAAACCAAGGCACAGAGCAATTAAGTGACAATCTGACACCTCGTGGTGAGTGACTGTCTTTAGGAAAAAAAGAATATCCAGCCCTCTGCCTTGCCACACCAGATGTTATGAGAATTAAACATCTGCTAGAAACATCGCCCAGAAATAGCTGGGGAACGCACGCATGCTGCTGGGAGCCTCGGAAAGTTTGTGACTGGCGCATGCAAGGAGGAAGACAAGGATCGCTCATTAAAAGATCCCACCATGCCCAGGGACTTCACATGTGTTTTCTTCTTTGTCTTATTTGTGCTTTTTTAAAAACTGATGTGTGTGTATATGTGTGTGTACACGTGTATTCACCCATGTGTGCACACATGGAGGCCAGAAGTCAACATCAGGTGTCTTTCTCATGTGCTCTCCACTTTATCTTTTGAGACAGGGTCTCTTACTAAAACTAGAGCTCGCTGTTTTGGCTAGGCTGACTAGCAGCCCCCAGGATCTCCCTGTCCTTCCCCACCTACCCTCCAGTACAAGGGTTACAGATGCATGCCGCCACGTCCAGCTCTTACATTGATACCGGGAATCTGAACTCAGAGCCTATGCTTGCATAGCAAGCACCTTACCCACTGAGTTGTCCCCCAGCCCCATTTTGTGTTGTTCCTTTGAGGCAGAGTCTTGCTCAGTAGCCCAGACTGGTCTTGAACTCATAATCCTGCCTCTACCCCCTGAGGGCTGAGTTGGCAGGTATGTTCCACCACACCAGCTGGGTTCCTTACTGAAAGGGCAGCCCCTCCCTGGAGGGGCACAGCCTGTGCTCAGCAAGGAGCGTCTGCCCAGTGGGAGTACCTGCCAAGCAGGAGCACCCTGCACTACTCACACACCTCCTGGATGCCTCCCTTGTCCTGCAGGGACAACTCATGGTTACTTCAGCACTCTAGGCTTCAACCTTTCTCTGTACATGTCTGTCCATCCCTTTCTCTTCAAGAGGTCCTCAAACTACCTCAGGAAACCTCCACTTTTCAGGCCACATTCAGGCATGAGGGACAATAGGCACTCCATTCTTGGTCTCTCTGTCCCTAGCAAGAAGTGATGGTCCAGACCCCATCCATACATGGCACACCTTCCAAAGGCTAAAGAGAAGTGGCTGAGCCAGAACCGGTCCGCGTCCTGATCCTAGGCTGTTTCTGCGGTCTTAGATCTTGTTCTTCCTCAGACCCTTCATCAATGGGAAGGAATACAAGGCCAGCAGTTCACAGAGGCCACGGCAGTGTGCAGAGGCTGAGGGTCAGGCTTACAGAGGGCTATCTAACAGGCATCACCTTTGCCTGCTGAAGTGAGAGGCAGGGATCCCCTGGGAGAGCCTGACCTTACAATGCCCTGAGCTACAACTGTTCCCCAGCTTCCTGGCCCGCCCTCTTCCCACGGCCTGGCCCAGCGGCTTCCTCCACTGTAGGATGCCAGTTCCCACACTGGGATGCAGCTTGTGCACCCCTCAGCTCTTCCTACCAGATCAAGAAACAGACACACCTTCCATGCTGGGCTTCCTGCCTAGGCTGTGACCTGCCAGAAACCCAGATGCAAAATGTCACAGTGGCTGCCCCCAAATCTTTCAGTTGCTTGGCTTAGAGACCCCTCACATACACAGGAAACCTTCTAGAAACCTCTCAAATATCTCTATTGCCAATGAGACACATAGCCAGGCCCCCAAACTATCTGGCCACCAGTTCTTAGCACCTTCGCTCCTGCCAACCT